TTAATAATAAATAAATATAAAAAGAATAAAGAAGATGAAAAGATGAAAGAATAAAATTGTAGATATATACTTAAATATAGTAAATGATCATTAATTTTGAGGGCGACAAAATCATAAATTATATGAGACTTACAAAACTAAGGAGGGACCGAGAGGATAAAATTATAAATATATAAGTAAATATATTAAATGTTGGGGCCAAAATCATAAATTGTAGGAGTTACAAAACTTTGGGGAGGCCACCACCCCTCCCTCAGCTCCCAAGAAGATCCGACACTAATGGGATATAAAAAAAATAAAACGTAAAAATATGAAGTTAATTAGAAACTAAAATTGTTTAATTAGAATTACTGTTTTAAAAATCATAAGACCGGTTGAATCGGTTTACTGAAAATTAGTTTAAAAACTGGTTTATTATTTTAAAATAATTAGATTTTAATTAAATCAGAATAAAATAAAAAAATTAAGTGGATTAATCATTTTGATAAAAAATAATTTTTTAACATAATTTTATAAAAGATATAATATATTTAAATTTTTTTTATCTCATATTAATTATTATATCGTATTTTTATCTTATTTTAATAATTATTTATTTTATCTTTTTATTATATTTTATATTTATAATTTTTAAGATAATAATTTCTATTATTTTTTTATTTTATATAAAAAAATTTATCTATTACAAAACTATTATTTTATTATATTCCGTTGAATCTCAATTACACTTTATTTAAATACTTTACTGGTTTAGATCTGATTTTTAAATATGTAAATAAAGACAAAACATAAAAAACATAACTCCCCTTAAAATCATTTTCGTCTTAAAATGATAAAATGAATGAAAATATTTTGAAAAACGACTTTGTTAATTCTTGAACCAAATATGGTTGTTTTCACTTTATTTCTCAAATACTTTTTCATTCACTTTATTTCCATCTTTTATATGTTTTTCATTAATTTCTTATTAGAACACATAGCCCTAGTTATGATCACGTACCAAAAAATATATGAAAAAAAAGTGCAAAATATCAGGTACTCTTTAGGAATCTGTTTTTGGTGACATGTGAAGTGATGATATATAATCAATAATGGAACCTAAACTTTCCTACATGACCAATAATTGAGGACAACACAGTGGCTATACATAGATTGCATGACTTATAATATAACTTTATAGAAATCGATCTTTAAATGTGCGTCCTAAAATAAAATGTTGGTTACTTTTAGTTCTAACAACCAACACATTCTCATAAATAAGACAGTAATCATAATATTATTTTTAAAAGTATTAGTATTACACATAATGTTATAAATATTTTTTATTTTAATTAATATAAGAACTAATATTTTAATTTTTAATTATTATTTTATAAAATAGTTAGAGTTTTTTATATATAATATATAAGAAAATGAGATTGAGAGAAGAGATAAAAGTATTTAAAATATTATTGATTTTTTTTATAATTATAATTTATCTAAAATCGAATTTAGAACTAAAATAATCTTATATATATATATATATATATATATATATATATATATATATATATATATATATATATTATTTAGGTTAGGATTTAGCTCTTACCACTCGACCAAAAAATTATAGTTATTAGTAGAACCATAACTCTTTTTACTTTATCCGTTTAAACACCACGATTTGATTGTGATTCGACTTACCTAATCTTCGTCACGGAGACAATTGATGCTACCAAGCAACAATTTAAGCAAAACTTTACAAAAATAATAATTTAGTATTTAAATAATAATAATAATAATAATAATAATAATAATAAAAAGGCGGTATTTATCATTATATTTAATAATCGATAAGCAACTAGTACTTAAAGTTTTCAGGTTAGATTTTTTAAAGATACACACATTATTATTAGATAAATTTTTAATTTCTTTATTATTAAAATTAAGTTTCAAACATTTTAAGCATCATCTTATTAATTAATCTTGTAAAAAAGTTTTCATTATTTCTGCTACTCTTTTTAGTTATTTAGGAACATAAATATGTTGTGAAATTTAAAATCTTTTAATAATTTTGGTGATTAAACTTTTAAGCATTTAAAAATATTAAACCCTAGCTAATTTGATTAGTATTTTTTTGAAAGATTAATGCATTTGTGCTAGCACGTTTTAAGAAAAATGTTACTATAGATTAAAATTAACTTATACGTTATGAAATAAAAATTTAGAATATATATATAAAATTATACACAATCAACTTTATATATATATATATATATATATATATATATATATATATATAATTTATTTTAAATTAATTATTGTTTCGGTGGAATTTTGATTGATTTCGATTCTAAAGTGTGTAAGTCCTAATCGAAATTCTACCACGTAAGCTCTTTCTGACTTAGGCTAGCAATTTGATTTTCAATCGATAACGTGTATGAGAATCGACAATTACATATATCGAAAACTCCGTTTTTGATATTTTTTGGATTTTTTAAGTATCGAAAGCAGTAAAGACGTCAAATCGAAAAAGTGGAATCTTTAAAGTGTGAAACAATGTAAAGTGCTAAACCCATTAAGCTTGCGCGAAAAAGTAAATAACAGGAAATCGAACATGCAGAAATTTAATTTGACATTGAATCAAAATTACATTGAATGTAAAGTACAAAACATGAAATTGCTGAATCGAAATTGCTCGAAAGTAAATTACCAAGGAAAATAAAGAAAGCGATAAATGTACTCCGTGAGCAGGGAAATCCAGATCGCCAGAAACTTCATGGTGTTCGTCGTTTCTCCGGTAGACTTTTCACTACTGATTCTGTGCTCTGCCAATTTTTGCTCCTTTGTTTCTCCTTTCTTTGTTCTATTTATAGGGCGTTGTTCAAGCCTCCTAAGAGCAGTTAACGAGACTGCTACCACGTTCTTCGTGCGTATGACAGTTTCTTTTTACAGTTTTCCCATGTTCTCACGATCTTCGACTTTTCCATCACTTAGAAACTGCTTTCCGTACGTGCGTTTTGACTACTTCCCTTCAAGGTTTAACCGAGGTTACGATATCTACGAAAACGAGCCTTCCCTTCGATTTAATCGAGAACTTTGCATACCTGGTATCGATTCATTTTAACCTTAACGTCATATACCTCAAATTCCTTGATTTTTTCCATGTTAAGTTTTCGACTATTACTCCTACTCTTCCGATTTTACCTTTCGATTTTATGTGTCACGTCCTTTATAATCGGACATCGGAAAAGTTCCCTTTCAATTTGTTTCTCGATCAGACTTCTCGATTCCACACTAACAAAATGCCCCCTTGAAAGAATATGAATAGTTTGTTTATATTCTTTCAACATTCCCGCCTTGGTATTTGGAGGCCCACAGAACTTAGGGTTTAGGGTTTCTGGGGTTTTAGGTTTAAAAGGGGTTTTAGGTCTCTTTTCCATTTTACGTCGCTGTCTCGTCAGTCTGTTGCCTTTCAGTACAAGTTACATTAATTAACTTTCCCTTTCTGTCGCTTCCAACTCCCTAGACGATTTCCCTTTAACCTTTCTTTGGTCTCTACCCTGGTTTTTACGCGAACTATCACCCTCTTTGCAATCTCATCTTCTTCCGTTTTCCTAAGCTCACTACAATGACCACTTCATCCAAGTCATCTGATTTCTCGACTCCCCCTCTTACCTCATCCGCTGCTACCTTGCTGGAGATTAACAACCAGCATTTTGCTCCCCTGCCTCTGATGGAGGAAGCTTCCAAAAAGATTGCTGAAACGCAGGTATTAGTTCCTTATACTGTTGAGGGGGTTGGTTTTGCTTTTGGGGGCCCCATTCTTTCTGGTAGTGGAACTGTTTCTCCCCTCACCCTCTCAAACAACCCTGCTCTTTTACATCAGCCTGAAGTTAGGATCGATTTTCTGAACCTTGTTTCTAAGGTGTATCGGACAGGCCCTCCTTCCAAAAAACCTTTGTTCACTAAATGGTTTGATAGGGTCAAGGCTAAATTCGGGAACCATTGGAGGAACGTGGGGATTTTCGATTTTTTACACTTGTCCCAATGTGACTTGTCTTACTTAGACATGGCTATGTTTTTGGCTGCCGTGCATTTGTGGAATAAGGAAATACATGCGTTGGAATTACCTTGCGGTCCCCTCTCACCTACTCTTCTCGATGTTGCAGCCATCACTGGGTTAAAACCTATAGGGGAGAGATACTTTCAGGGTGCATGTCCCTCGGATAATTTGTTGAAGTCTAAAATCGATTGGGAATCGAAGGCCTACGGGCATTTTATTGAGAAACATTTCGTTGATGACCCTTCAATAGATGTTACTGATGAAGAACATATAGCGTTTTTGGTGTACTGGCTGTGCACCCATGTATTTTGCCCCCGATCGATCCAAATTTCCCCCCATCTATTCAATCTTGCGTATCTACTTCACTTAGGTCAACCTAGCCTATGTTTGGCCAAATTCTTGTTAGCGCATGTATATACTGCTTTCGACGAAGCTGTCGAAATTTTGAGTACTCCTAAAGCATTGGGGAATTTTTCTGGCCCCGTTTGGTTTATACAGTTATGGTTAACTTCAATTTTTGAGAGCGTGCTTCCTCGATTTTCTATTGTTCCCCCGAGTGTAAATATAGAAGGGGCCTGATTATCCTCTCGTCACCCTCGCCATAAGTCTGATGAAGCTACCTACTGTAAATACCTTCAATTTTTGTTAACCAGATTCACTTTCGACTCAACCTTGGCCCCATTTACTGTAAATCTTGGACGAATAAGTGGCCAACTTAGAGGGCCTATTT